TATGGAACAGTCTGTAACGTTTTTTAACCAAGGAACACGGTTTTGACCAATTTTTGTAGAAGTAGTGGAGAGCTTTACTAGAAGCAGCATCCTCATTAGCATTAGTAGTAGTAGTAGTATTAGAAGTAGTAACAGTAATAAAAGGAGTATTAGTGTTCAGCTTAGTAGAAATGGTAGTAGTGATAGCAGTGGTAGTAGTAGTTTTAGTAGCAGAAGCAACGGCAATTATAGAAGTCATAGAGTTGGTGGTAGTATTAGTGTTGTGACTAGCTGTAGTCGAACGCAGCCTCCGTAATAGCCAATCACAGGCCGACTCACACAGGACTTCATGTGACGACTGTCGACTAGACATGACCTCAGGCGCCGTTCGCTGGCTTGCGCTTGTGCGAACGTCTGACAGTCAATTTCCTCTTGTCTGTTCTCTCCCTTCCTTCTGTACAGAATATATTGTCCCTACCACTCTGGCTTCCCATGACTTCTTTTCTCCTTTGAAACCGGGCCTGAAGACCGCAATTGCTAGGGTTAATCTTACCTACCCCACTTCGAGAGTAGAGTTAATATTAATAGTCTCGGTGATAGTGATAGTAGTAGTATTAGAAATACTAGCAATAATAAAAGAACTATTAGTGTTCGCAATGGTGTTGGTGGTAGCAGTAATAGTGCTAACATAAGCCGTAGTAGTAGCAATAGTAGTAACAGCAGTATTTGCAGCAGTAGTAGGATTTGCAGTAGTAATGGTAGTGGTAATAATAATAGGTGGTAGTAGTAATGGTAATGCTAACATCTTGGGCCGAGTCAACTCAAAAACCGAACGGCTAATAGTTGAGGCATGGGATTCACATACCAACTCCATCAACGAATATCTTGACCTTCTTGCAGCGTATAAAGTCTTACGTCAGTACGTACACAGATCGCAAAACAATATGGCCACACAGAACTTAAGACATAAACCAATTACGAACTGGTTCGACGGAGAAAAAGAGTCGCCAGACTGAACAACACCGCCAGAGGCTCAACCATCCGCCCCCCCCCTCCATCCAGCTGAATTACCCTCTTGCTATACCCTAAAGGTTTGCGATTAATCATGGTTACTGACAACCCGTAAGTAGCTGTTTAAATGGTGCTAAAAGTGGATACCATAAGTCGATAGGCGTGTGTTGGTCCATGTACACCGAACATCCTCCGGAAAGCGGAGGCAGCTACCAGATTCCGACGAGCAGGTAATACAGCATGTCACTTCCATCTCTGCTCGATTAAATGCATTTAACGATCTGACAACGGTGAACCGGCCAAGCTTTCCTTTAGAGAGTAAACCTACACCGGTGAGCTCTTATTAATTCTCGAATTATCAGCCAATTATTTGCAAATGTGATGAGCTACTAGTATGGCAAGTTCAGCTTCCAAAAGATCCAAGCGTATCTGACGACCGATCAGAAGT